TTTATGGGTGGAAGGCGGACAGACTATAACCATGTTAACTTCTTTAGATGTAACTTTTATGAAATATCACCTAAAGAAGCCCAGCTACTTACATGGCTGTGGATACTGTTGATTGGGTACCAACAGCGATCGGCAGCCCCCTTCTCCTTTGCTTTCTTCTAACATAGACGCCCTTGCAGGTGAGAGGTCCACGTTTTCTAATCTGGCCAACAGACATAAACACTTGTTTCTATCCTGGGGCTTGTTAGTACATTTCCTAATAGGGACTGATTCGGTTTGGTCTCTATTTCTCCATATATATATATATATATATATACATATATATATATATATTAATTATTGATTTTTTACAGAGAGGAAGGGAGAGGGATAGAGAGTTAGAAACATTGATGAGAGAGAAACATCGATCAGCTGCCTCCTGCACACCCCCAACTGGGGATGTGCCCGCAACCAAGGTACATGCCCTTGACCAGAATCAAACCTGGGACCTTTCAGTCCGCAGGCCGACACTCTATCCACTGAGCCAAACCGGTTAGGGCTATTCCTCCTCTCTTCTGCCTGGCCTAGAACACAGGGGTGCAATGCCTTGCAGGGGTTCTCAACCTTCCTAATGCCACGACCCTTTAATACAGTTCCTCATGCTGTGGTGACCCCCAACCATAAAATTATTTTTGTTGCTACTTCATAACTGTAATTTTGCTACCGTTATGAATCGTAATGTAAATATCTGATATGTAGGATGTATTTTTCAGGGTCGCGACCCACAGGTTGAGAACCGCTGCTTAGAGGTTCAGTAGCATTGTGTAATCATGAGGACAAAGGAGACAGACTGCGGATGGTGGCCTGCAAAGAAAGAGGAAGGCCTGGTGAGGTCACCGAACTAACCACCTTTGGGTTTCTCATTGCAAGAGACAAAATTTAGTCCCTGCGGCGGGAAGCCATTACTATCTGGTTTTCTATGACTTGCAACCCAACCCAATCCTATCCATTTGGGGCTATTTCGAGTTTTCTTTTATTCTCACAGTCCTCAGCACTGCTCAGGAAATGAAATTTCTGGCATCCAATGCAGTTGTATTAATTCTCCAACTCTTCAAATTGTGCCACTTTAAAAAGTTGGGTTAAAGACACTTAAAATCTTGTTTCAGACTCAAATCATATCTAAAGATTAAAATTCACTGGTGTTCTTTGGGAGAAGTCCTATTACAATACATCAACATCAAGTTTAAAAAAAATGTTCTACCGTATAACTTCTAAGGCAGTGGTCCTCAACCTTCTGGCCTTTTAAATACAGTTCCTCATGTTGTGACCCAACCATAAAATTATTTTCGTTGCTACTTCATAACTGTAATGTTGCTACTGTTATGAATCGTAATGTAAATATCTGATATGCAGGATGGTCTTAGGCGACCCCTGTGAAAAGGTCGTTCGACCGCCAAAGGGGTCTCGACCCACAGGTTGAGAACCGCTGTTCTAAGGAAATCAAAGGTATTGTCAACAGATTCTGAACTTGTTTCAGGTAGCAAACATTTTATGCCAACAAACTGTCCAAAAAGTATGTGAATATAGTCTACATTTTATTTTTTAAAATATTTTATTGATTTTTTTACAGAGAGAAAGGGAGAGGGATAGAGAGTTAGAAACATCGATGAGAGAAACATCAACCAGCTGCCTCCTTCACACCCCCTACTGGGGATGTGCCCGCAACCAAGGTACATGCCCTTGACTAGAATCGAACCTGGGACCCTTCAGTCCAAAGGCCTACGTTCTATCCACTGAGCCAAACCGGTTAGGGATACATTTTAGAGTTTCATAGGCCTCCAACCTATCATATTTTGTGACATATAGATTATTATAAAGACCTTTCAAATTATTTTAAGAGCTCCCAGTTGCCAAATTTTGGACAATTTGGGCATCAAAAAGTTAATGATGGTAATGGATTATAGCACATTAAGTAAAATGTAAAAAAAATTTATAAGTTCACAGTGATTCACAAGCATGCCAGCTAATACATGTAGGCAAATGACAGAATTAGACTTTGCAACTGCCAATGCAATGATTGATTGAGGGTAGCCTCATTCATGGGCGCTAAAGCCATTGAGGGAAAGGATGTTGGGAAACAAGACAACCATATGGTTTCAGAGTAGCATCCCACAGATCAATTAATAATTCCGAAGGGAAATGAATTTTTACCATTGAGAGATCTGTTAGACACTGTCTTAAAACCAAACAATCAAACTTGGTACCGCCAATGATAAGATGGCTTAGTGCCATGGTCGGCAAACTGTGGCTCACGCGAGCCACATGCGGCTCTTTGGCCCCTTGAGTGTGGCTCTTCCTAAGCCTTAGGAGTACCCTAATTAAGTTAATAACAATGTACCTACCTATATAGTTTAAGTTTAAAAAATTTGGCTCTCAAAAGAAATTTCAATCGTTGTCCTGTTGATATTTGGCTCTGTTGACTAATGAGTTTGCCGACCACTGGCTTAGTGTGTGACTTTGTACAAATCATTTAGCTTCCCAGAGTCTTGGTTCCTCCTCTACAAACAGAAGATCATCTATATGCCACAATGTGGATAGGCCTGGAAAACATTATGCTAAGTGAGAGAAGCCAGACACAGAAGCCACGTACTGTATGATTCCATTTATATGAAATGTCCGACCGAATAGGCAAATCCGTAGGAGGGAGGGGTCGTGGGGAAGGACTTCTAAGCGCTGTGAGATTTCTTTTAGGGGTGATGAAAATGTTCCAGAATTTAGATAATAATAGTCACACAACTCTGTGAATATACAAAAACCACTGAATTGTACATGTTAAGAGGGTAAATTTTATGGTATAGGAATTGTATCTCAATAACGCTGTTTAAAAAATGCAGTAACATGCAATTACCACAGAACCTAGCAATTCCACTCCTAAGAATAGGCAAGTGGGAAAGAGACAAAAAGAAGATTAGTAGCTGCCTAGACTGGGAGGGGCGGGGGACAATGGGGAGTGACTGCTAATAGGAATGAGATTTCTTTTCGGAGTGATGGAAATGTTCTAAAATTGATTGTGGTGATGGTTGCGAATCTTTATCAATATACTAAAACTTCGAAATGGTACACTTTCAATGGGTGAATCAAATAGTATGATATGTGAATGTATCTAAAAGCTGTTAAACAGGTAAAACATTAAAATATTTTAGTTAAGAAAAGGAGATAACAATACTGGTATGAGGTCTAAATGAGTCTTTGTTCTCCTAATACCTCATGCCACTCCCCCCTCACCCAACACATACGATTATTTATCACACCAAATCATCGCTGTGAATGCTTTTGTCTTGCCCACTGAGGTGAGAGCCCTCTGATAACAGAAACGTTTTTTAAATGTATTTTTATTTCTTTCGGAAGGGAAGGGAGAGGGAGAGAGAGAGAGAAACATCAATAAGAGAGAATCATTGATCGGCTGCCTCCTGCACGCCCCCTACGGGGGATTCAGCCCACAAGCCAGGCATGTGCCCTGACTGGGAATCAAACCATGACCCTCTGGTTCATAGGTTGATGCTCAACCACTGAACCACACCAGTGAAGCTGATAACAGAAACTTTCTAATCCACCCAGGGCCGGCTTCCTGGGCATGTGACCTGTGCATCCACACAAGAATCCATCCTCAGAAGGGTCCCACGTTTGCTTTAATACTCTGCTATCACCATCTTGAAATTCCCAATTTTTAAACAAGGTGCAGGTGCGCCTCATTTATCTCGCACTGAGCCCTGCACGTTTTGTAACAGTCCTGGATCCACCTTTGGGCCCCCGCACAGCTCGGCGCAGTCCTGATGCTCAGTGGGTGTCCAATCAAGGTTCCTTCTCTTTCCCAGTCCCAGTACTGAGACTTCCCCCAGAACAGTGCCTCGACCTTCAACATAGATCCACCCAGAGCCTCCTGGGTGCCAGGTAATGTGTCAGCAGCTGGGGCTACAGTGAGGCGCCAAAGCCACAGCTGAGGTCTCTTCCCCTTCCCAGCAGGGGAGCTGCTGAGAAGGAGGCTGTGCCAGCAGCACAGCTGCCCCCTCCTCGCTTGCCTCCACAGCCACCACCGCGTGGGACTCATTTCGACTTAGAGACAAATGCATCACCTTGGGATCCTGACTTTGTGAGTTCTGCTTTGTAATAGGAAATAGAAGGCTCCGATGAGTGAGGGTGAGCCTGCAGTTCTTTCTTACAGCGTGAGAGAAAAAGTCGCCTCTGCCTTTCTCAGTATGTTTGCGGTCCATCACGTTGACATCTATTATTAAAGAGATCTGTCAGCACCTCTTTTTAAAAATATTTTTTTATTGATTTCAGAGAGAAAGGACGAGGGAGATAGAAACATCAGTGATGAGAGAGAATCATTGATCGGCTGCCTCCTGCACGCCCCAAGCTGGGGATCGAGCCCGCAACCCGGGCCTGTGCCCTGACGGAATCAAACCGTGACCTCCTGGTTCATAGGTCGACGCTCAACCACCGAGCTATGCCAGTCGGGCTGTCAGCACCTCTTAATTCAATGCAGTTTCTAAGGACAAAACACTATGGTAGGCACTGCTGCTAGGAAGAGAGTAGCTGCGTCTTTTTAAGCGTGTCGCACGAGCTCCTTGGATAAAGATTGCAGTGGGCTGCAACTCTATGGGGAGTCAGCAGAGAGCAGTCGTTGTTGAAATTCCTGATAGACCTGGCTTCCGCTTGATCGATGTGCTTTACTAGGGGCGGGTCCCAGGGGCAATTCCTTAATCTCTGTAGCCTTCAGTTTCCTAATCAGTTAATACAACCCTGGTGTCAAAGGGCTGTTGTAAAGATTAAATGGGATAAAGCATGCACAACAGTGGCACGGTCTCTAGCACTTAGTAGGAAAGTCACACACACAAAAACAAAACCTAAAACATCCTATAAAACTGTGCTGTTTTGCCCCCAAATGGCTAAATCGTTCTGTTCCTGGCCCATAGCCACATGTTATAAAATACCTCTGCCTGTAATTTCTATTTCTCCAGCTGGAGGTGAAGGCAAACAGCGCCAGCCAACGTCACCTGGTGCCGTGACGCGACGTCAGTGAGCTCCGCTTTCTCCCTCTCAGTCTTGGTAGCGAAGCCCACACCTGCTCCCACACCCCAGGCACACAGTGTTGTGCGAGGAAGGGTAAGCGAAGGAGCTGGGATGGGGATGCTGGGAAAAGAGGGTTTGACTTATCTGGCACTTTTTGCTTCTTTAGGATTTGGAGCCACTCCTCCCTAGCACAGCCTGCCCATTGAGCACCTAAGTTGGGCTCTCCCCCAGCCCCAGCCCCCATCACTGGACAGTCATGGGAAGTGGCTGCTACCAGGGAGAAGAACCGCATGACCTTGAGCAAGACAGCTTTCTTCAGTGGAGGGGAGGCAATTCTCCAAGAGACACCCATCTGAGAGCTGTCAGCCAACTCCCCCAGCAGGTGGGCGAATGGGTGCCTCAGTCCTGAAGGGGGGACTCTAGGTGGGCAGCTCAGCACAGAATCAATGACAAGAACTAAATGGTAGGAATGGCTGTGCTAAGTTTCAGCCATTCCTAGGAGTGTTGGAACAGGGACGGGCTGGGGGAGGATAGAGGGGATGCCACCGGCTACACTTCATAGTGGATTATGGGGGCAAATGCATTGAAAAGCGACACAGATTGTGGTTTTATGTGCATTTAACCAAACTTAGGGTCAATCCCAGCAAAAAAATTTCTCAGCAGATCCACAAAAAGTACAAAGAATGCCTCGATCATAAAATATTCACCATTTATAAGATTCTGCTTGCTTTATAAAGTCTTCATTGTCGTAGAAATATGATGCTTATAGTCAAAATCACAAAACTTGGGCTCTGGAAATAGGACTGGATTGGAGTTCCAGCTCCATGACGTATAATGAGTGACCTTTACTTAGGAACCAGTGTAATGAACATAATATTACAAACCTCACTGGACTGAGATGATGTCCCCAGCACATACAAATTGCTAAATAATATTTCTTTTTCTTCTTTTCCTTCTCCTCCTCATTATTATTATTTGTACTGCATTTCCCTATCTGAGCACAGGAAAAAAAAATGCTGGGTTCTCACTCTTCAACTCCTGCTCTAACAATCCTCATTAATAGTCCATTCTGCAGCATTTTGATGTTTTGCTTAATTTTTAAAGTTTTGCTTTTTATTGAATCTATTGGGGTGTCGTCACACTGGTTAACGAAATTATACAGGTTCCAGGTGCAAAATTCTGCAAGACATCATCTGTCCACTGTATTGTGTGTTCACCAACCCAAGTCAAATCCTTGTCCATCACCATTTACCCCCTACACCCTCCCCCACCCCCCGGCCATCACTGCACTGTTGTCTGTGTCCACGATTAATTCATTTGTTTTAGAGAGACGGGCTGTAGTCAGATCATGGTATGCTCTAGGTGCCAGGCTAAGAGATATGGACATATGCTATTGACGGTGGGAGCCACTAAAGGTTTTAGAGCAGATATTATTAGGAAATAAAAGAGAAGAATCAAGATTACTTAGCTAGGAGGGCCTGAAGACCCCCTGAAATTTTGAGTAAATATTTGTGTGAATAGCCATGTGTTTCTTTTTTCTGGGGAGAGAGTCCATAACTTTCATCCACACTCAGTGGTGTCTGAGACTTCACAAAGGCTAAGAACCACTGTCTCAGCAGTTTCCAGCTTAGATGACCAGCAGCAGGGTAGTCGCATCCAAAAGAAAAGGGGTCCCAGGGCAAGAAGTTAGGAGGGGGGTTGGCTGGAGGAGAGTAGAAACGGTCACTCGCCTCTGAGGTCGATCGCTTTCACGATGCTGCTGTAGGTGGATTTTCCAGGGGCACCGGCCACCGGAACCCCTGCCGCCTCCCGCGACTGCAAGGCCACAGCCACCGGCGCGGGAGTGACCTCCGTCGCAGGCTGGCATTTGAATGACGTTGTCAAGAGAACCAGCCAAGTGGGCCGAGGACAGGTCTTTGAACATATTTGATCTGCCTGCTGTGCCTTTTCCGAAGTGCTTTCTGACCGATTATTTTTCTCCGCACAGGAAAGTCACATTTTGAACTTCACTTCCTAAAATACATTCAATCACGCTTCGGCTTCTGAGAAGGGGCCGGAGGGAGGCACATAATGACTGCTTACGTGCTTCCCTTCTCATCTGAGGAAATGATCTTTTCAAAATGACTGCGTGCTCCTGACCCTGTCTGAGAGCAGGTGGGTATTTAGGGGCCACTTTAGGAAGTGTGTAGGATAATTGTCAGCACTCAGACGACCTAGTTCTAGCCGCTGTGGAAATCCTGGCCTCCTGAGGCATGCCTCCTCTCCCTGGAGAGGAAGACGAAGTACCTGTTACCCCTTCCTACTCATGCCAGGAAAGCTACTTAACGATATGTGGGTAGAGAGGTGGTCTTTCCCCAACAATACTCCCTTAGGGTTCGTTAAGGGTTGAATGGTGTCTCCCTAAAATTCCTATGTTTGAATCCTAAGCCCCTGTACTTCAGATTATGATCTTATTTGCAAACTAGAGGCCCAGGGCACAAAATTCATGCACTGGGGGAGGGGGGTGGCCCCTTAGCCAGGCCTGCGCCCTCTCGGGGGATGTCTGCCTAAGCCAGCAGTTGGACATCCCTCTGCTACATGCCAAGAACATCAAAGAAATTGCCAGGAAACCCCCAGAAACGAGGGGGGAGGCATGGAGCTGCATCGTCCTCACAGCTGTCAGAAAGAACCGGTTTTGCTCAGTGGATAGAGCATCGGCCTGCGGACTCAAGGGTCCAAGGTTCGATTCCGGTCAAGGGCATGTACCTTGGTTGCGGGCACATCCCCATTAGGGAGTGCGCAGGAGGCAGCTGGTTGATGTTTCTCTCATCGATGTTTCTAACTCTCTATCTCTCTCCCTTCCTCTCTGTAAGAAATCAATAAAATATATTTTTTTAAAAAGAAAGAAAGCAAGCTAGCTGCCCACACCGTGGTCTCGGACTTGCAGCCTCCAGAACTGGGAGACAGCAGATGTCTGTTGATGAAACCACCCAGTTTGTGGTACTTTGTTACTGTACTAGTAGCTCTTGAAAACTAATACACTCCCTTTCTCTGGAATTGTAGAGCTGTTCCATCCCTCTTCTGGCTAATCCAGTCCTGGTTTCCTGAACTGAAGTCTCAGAGCAGGTGGGCGGGGCTGTGGCGACCTTGTCAATCAAAATGGCTCCTGCAGAGCTTGCCAGGTATGCAGAGCTCATTGGAGGTCAGCAGGGAGAGTGGCTTGGGGACCTCCCACCCTGCCTTGCACTGTCGGGATACTCTTTCCTGAGTGTACTGTGGCTTAAGGAAGGGGGGTCCCCACTGTAGTGCTGACTCTCTTGAAGGATAAAAATATTCAACCCCAAGTCTGGAGCATGGATTTTGCTTAACCTGGCTCCTAAAGGTGTTTGTTCTCAGCCTCTCTCTCTCCCCCATCATCAAGCTGTGACAAACTTGTCTTTAGTCACCTGATGACGCGGTTTCCATGGTTACCGACAAACATGCAGCAAAGTGTCATTCCTAGGAGGCCTCAGGATAAAACAAGTAACAAGACCAGGCCTTGGCACAATGAGAATGACCTGGATCCAATGACCAGGATGGAGCACTGAGGGCAACTGGGCCTCAAAAGCAAGCCAGGAGCCCAGTTACAGAGCTGGGCTTAAAGGCAGAGGCGGAGCAGCGCGACTGTCTGCCGGATACCGAGCCCTTACTCCGAACTAGGAGACACACCAAGCGCGCCCTGTGATCACCTCCTTTGGTCTTTGTTTTCCGTTTTCTCCGAGAAGGAACTGAGCCTCGGTGGCATGTTGAAGATCACACAGCTGCTAGGTACAGAAAGAGCAAGGGTTTGAACCCAAATGCTAATAATCTCCCATCTGTCCCCTCAGATCTGCTCTTCTCCACCCCAGAGGCTGACCTGCCTGGGCTGCAATCAACAGCCTCCCTTGTCCCCAGCTCCACTGTGTCTGTTACTGTAAGCCCAGCACATAAGGGGGAAGAAAATAGAGGCTGCTTTTGGCTGGCTGTGCCACGGAATGGCTCCTCTATGGAATCCTCTCCTTCCCAGCCAGTGTGAGGGGCCCGTACTCTTTAACCCCTGCGATCTAAGGTCAGGACGGGTCTCTGAGACCTGGGGCTGCAGGAAAGAGGTGCTGGACCTGCTGTAGGTCCCCAGTGATTATAGGTTTGGGGTGAGGGTCACGGCACAACCTAGAGAATGAAGCAGGATCTGCTACTCACCTGTGAGGACTTTCAGGTCTCCCGTGGTCTTTCCTGTCCTGGCAACTCCCCAGTGTTTAGCCAATGCAATTACTTTAGTTCACTGTCCATTTGTTTTCCCACTGATTTTTAGACAGAGTGAAAGGGAAGGAGAGGAGAGAGAGACAGAGAAGAGAAACAATGATGTGAGAGAGACACATCGATCTGTTGCCTCCCATACTGGAGTATTGGGGCTCAAACCTGCCACCCAGATACATGCCCTTGATCAGGAATCAAATCTGCAACCCTTCAGTGCGCAGGCCAAAGCTCTAACCACTGAGAACACCTGCCTTTTGAATCTGGGTGAACTTGTAATTCCTCTGTCCCATAGAGTTCAGAAGAAGTGATAGATATGACGTCTGAGCCTGGGCCATAAAAGATGCTGAGCTTTCTCCGGGGAGCTGGCTCTGTGGGAAGTCCGTCCACGTAAGAAGTCTGACAACCCTGAACCCACCTGCTGGAGAGACCACGGGAAACAGTTCAGGAGGCAGCCCAAGCTGAGCTCCCAGCCAACTGCCCAGCATCAACTGCCAGCCACGTGGATGAGCCAGCTTGGACGTCTGGCCCAATCATGCCTTCAGATGACTGCAGCCTCCGCCAACATCTAAATGTAGCCTCGTGAGAGATCCCAAGGCTCACCAGAGCTCCTTAATTTCCTGACTCAGAAAATCACAAGCAAAAGAAAATGATTGTGTTTTGTTTTTTTAGTGTTTTTATTGATTTCGGAAAGAGGAAGGGAGAGAGGAATAGAAGCATCAATGATGAGCTGTTCTGGCGTGGCTCAGTGGTTGAACATTGACCTATGCACCAGGAGGTCATAGTTCAATTCCCAGTCAGGGTACATGCCTGGGTTGTGGGCTCAGTCCCCAGTGTTGGGTGTGCAGGAGGCAGCAGGTCAATGATTCTCTCATTATTGATGTTTCTATCTCTCTCTCCCTCTCCCTTCCTCCCTGAAATAAAAAAGAAAAGAAACATCAATAAGCTATATACATGTAGCTTATTATTTCTATAAGATTGTATCTCACTTAAATTTTTTTAAAAAATTCAGTTTGTTTTAACAACAAAAAAAGTTCATCTATATCTACCATTCTCCAACTCTAGCTCTTGCAACCACCAATCTATTCTCTAAGTCTGTGAGGTTGTTTTTGTTGTTTTGTTTTAGATTCCACAATATAAGCAAGATCATAAGGTATTTGTTTTTCTCTGTCTGACATTTCACTTTGCATAATGCTC